CTAGTAGCTTGATCACAAGTAGAATGCTTTCAGAGTATATGATATGGAAAAAATTCAGAATTTTGAAGAAAAACCAGTCGCTTCAAAAAAAAAATTTCGATAAGCATTTACGTTGCAATCTTTGGCGAAAAACAATCGTTTTGTTTTTATCGATAGATGATTGATTCATGTGGTGCACATTATTTTTGTTTTGTTGATTACAGTTTAAACTGATTAGATAATGAGATAAGTGATCATTCATTTTAAATGTCAAGAAAAAAGTGCACTTTCTATCAATCGAAAGAACGAGAATAATATCTTGCCAGATAAGAAATGAGTAAGAGAAAAAAACATGTGATGATTCAACACATCTTTTTTTCGTGCACATGGATTATTAAGTATATCAAATAACACTAAGATATTGAGCAGCTTTTTATATGAGCGTTCACTTGATATATTCTGAACATCATTCCTCTTGGTTTCATGAAAAAGAAGCGTTCTTATTAGATGTTTATATGATAATTTAAAAAAAAATACCAAATTAAGTGATGAATCTAGATGCTATACAGTCAATGTCCCTAATAACAACAGACATTTCAGGGATCTCGTTAGTTTCCTTTCTAATCCAATGATTTTCTATGAAAAAATAGATTTTTTTAATATTTTTGAGTAGAAAAATATTTTCTGCATCGAACAGTGAAGGAATCACTTTTTGATCATCAAAATTGGCTGAGTAATTAGCGGTAGAATCTAAGAAATTGAATTTGTTGTTATTAGGAGCACTGTTCTTAATAAGAACAGTAAGACGAAAAAATGTTCCTAATAACAACAGCCAGCGAAGAACAAGCAAAAAATTAAAAAATAGATAAAACGGATGATTTTGCTACCTGAAATACAGAATTTCGATATACTCCTGGAACAAAAACTGTTCCTTATCTTTTGAAGTATATTTATCCCAAGGTTGAGATTTTATCAATTAAATTGAGGAAGTTATTAAATTTTTAAAAATCTTAATTTTGTTGTTATTAGGAGCACTGATCCAAATAACAACAGCTAGCAAAAAAGTGCTCCTAATAACAACATTCTATGAAAAATACATAGAAAATAATTTTTTTTTACTAAATGGGGTTTTTCCATGGTTGAACATGAATTTCTTTTTATGCGGCTGTCACCAAAAATGTTTGTCCATTCCTAACACGTAAATATCCAGCGGTTCTAGTCAAACGAAATTTTCTTACTGTATTTTCATTACATGAGCGCTTTCATACAATATTGAATATGTTATTACATGCAAAAAAATTCTCAATGATATATATGTTTTTTTTTAGTTCAATTTTTGTATTTTTCTCACATTTGAAAGGATCGATCTAATTAGATAGTTTTTGACTCATCATTGTACCTTAGAAAAGAGTGCGACAATTCACTGAAATTAATCGAATAGATAATTAGTATATTGTGACTCCTATTACGATATCAACATTGCATTGCATTTTTTTTTCTAATTAGTTTAGAATTTTCGATGGTCAGAGCCACCTATTGTTTTCTGAAATTTAAAAAAATTGAATAACGATTTGCTCTTCGATAACGCCAATTGTATATTGACCTATACTTTTCCGAACGATTAAAATCATTTACAACAACGCATACTCGGAATTACTATACCAAATTGTATAACATCTAAGGCAATGTTTGATATTTGTTAGTTATGAAGATGGGCTTGGAATGGTTTGTATTATTGTGAGTTATTGAGATAGTGAGGATGTGGTTGGGGTCCGTGTGTTATGCATCGAGGTATATAGGGCGGTATTTTTAGGTTTTGCGAGGTTTTCTGGCTTAGTGCGGTTGCTGCGTTAATTATGTTGTCTCTCTCCTGGATAAGTTTTCTGTTTGCTAATATTGGATGTATTGCGAGGAAGTTTTTAAGGATATGTGAAGCTGCACTGGAATTAACTGATTGGTTTTCATTGTTTTTTTTGATGAATAGTGTATTTTTTTACTGTTCTTTTCAGATTTGTGGCCTTATTATATAGTAGATTTATTATAGATTATATGTAGTTTTTCTTTCATGTATGGATGGCAACATGTATTATTCTTTCATTGTCGGGTATATGGTTCTTTTCTGCTGTTTTAATTACATTTTCTTGTGATTGGTGCAATTTATAATTTGGTTTTCTCTCCTGCATAGTGTGGATGGAGTTTTTGACATGTATTTTGTTCAGATGCGGTCATTAGGTGTTTTCCGTAGGTGTTTGTAGGATTATACGTATGTAGGTAGTGTCTTCTTCTTTTCTCGTATTGTTAGTCATGGTGCCTAAATGTTCTTTTTGCTATCGTTTAATTTGGGTGTTTCCACTGTGGCTCTTCTCTTCTTTCTTGCATGTTGTTCTCTGGATTTTTGCTTCGTGTGTTCATCGTGTATGGAATTACTAAAAGGTATTTTCAAACGTTTATGAGCATTCTATATGTATGGTTACATTGTTGTGGAGAGAGACATTGGGATTAAAGATAGAGACAGTTATGCAAATAAAGTACAAGTGGAATTAAGGTCTCACAGAGGTGATGTATCATTGGTATGCATTTAGATGGAGTGTTTTTTGCATTGTTTATATTTCTTTCTTGTATGTATTGTTTAGGAAGATCTCTGTATTGTTTTCTTGTGAATTTTTTTCCGTTTATGATATGATATATATATATGTATGCTCTTCTGATGAACAATATAGGAAAATATGCATGCATGAAGGTAAGGTTTTTCTTCAGTATAGATAGTACATGGTTAGAGCGTTATATTCCTTATATGTTGTAGCATGGGATGCTGTCAGTTTTGTTGTTTGCAGTCTTTTATGATAGAAGTAACATTTTCTGTCCTTTATATTCTTGTGGCTCGTTCTGCGCTTTGGTATGATATTCATGTTTGAGGTATGTTTCACTTTTTCAAATACCATGTGTCTTAACTATTTGGATCGATACATTTTTTTTTTGCTCAGTTATTTGTAATGAAGAATTTGTTTTTCTTGTCGTTTTTATCTTTTTATGTGCAGTATCTGACTATTGAAGTATCATCATTGTGTTTTGACTGTTGAAATCTAATAATGATTATAACGGTGCATTTGTGTAAGGTTCGCAGCTCTATTTCTCAACTCGTTTTATTTTTTTGATTTTCATCTGTATACTGCTGTTCTTGCCAAAAGAACTAAGTAATAACTTGCACTCATCGATATGTGCTGAATTATATAAAGATGAAAACTTTTTCTTCTGATAGTGAGTATGTGCAGGTACGACATGAGCAGATTACTTTGATACTATTTGCTTCACCTATCTTATCTGATAGATATGTTTTCGTATCTTATGATACTGAATCTAATAAGGAATATTCAAATCTTGTTCAGAAAACATCTATAATCGCGCTTTTGAGGGTGGTATGTAATTTTTTTTAGTGAGTAGCCCTTCCAGCTAAATCGTACAGTTTTTAGAACGATTTTGATTACATCATATAGAGACGTCTATCTCTATAGTTCAATATTGTTTAAAAATGTCTCTACAAATTTTATGCTTTATAAATTTTATCCAAATGTTTATTGTCATGAGACTATTTTCTTGTTTTAGATCTTTGCTCATCACTAACTCAGCAACACAAACTAATTGATAATCTTTGATACATTTATTATACGTCCTTTATCATATTGGTTTCTTTAATCATCGCATTATTATGCATTGTTATTTAACAATCTCGTAGGTTCACAAATCTGTGTTACCTAAATAGTTTTTTATGTTTTAGATCGATTGTAACCTATTGGTATGTTATATTTAGAAGAATATCTTTTCACTATTATTTTTTCTTTTAGATCACTCTTCATCATTATAGTCTTGTTTAATATTTAAATTATACTGTTTTAAGTATTCAATCTATTGGTATAATATATTTGGGAAAAAAATTGTTTAAATATTATTTTCACTTTTAGGTGTATCTGTACCGGTGTCATTTCAGTTTGTATTAAAATTATATTGTATTAATTGTTTAATCTATTGGTATGTTGTATTTAGAAATATATCTGTTCTATATTATTTTTGTTGCTAGGTCTTACTTCGTCATTGTCATTTCATTTCGTGTTAAAATTATCTTGTATTAATTACTTAATCTATTGGTATTTTGCATTTGGAACAAAGATTCTTTCAATATTATTTTCTTTTTTAGATCCGTCTATATCATTGTCATTTCATTTCGTATTAAAATTATATTATTTTAATTGTTTAATCTATTGGTATGTTGTATTTAGAAATATATTTCTTCTATATTATTTTCTTTTATAGGTGATCTAATATTTCTCTCATCTTCTGTGTAGTATTATACCATATACGTTCGTTTTTCTTCATAAGTTCTACTTTGTCTCTGTTATTTTAATTTACATCGATTGGGTTTTTATATTGTCTAACTTTTTACAATAAATATTTTATTTAATATCGCAAACTATGAATTCTGACTCTACCAATAATGAATCAAATGCACTCAACATGAAAGTTCTTCCGTTATCAACTCAAACAAGATTTTTTTTTATAAAGCAATATTATGGTCACACGGCTTATAAAACATATCAGTATTTTGAGAAAACTACGGTTAAACTAGTACGTCTCTGGTGTGACTTAAGTTATCTAAATGAATGTAGATGGAACAATCTTATGCCGAGATTTCTTCATTTTAAAGCTTCAAATTCTTGGTTATTTTACACAAAAGCATATATCAAATGCCAGCATATTCTCTTGAAAGAAGAAATCAACTTGAAAAAACAAAGTATAAAAAATTTATCTATGTGAGTAAGAAAAACATATGATACACTAGCAAATATTTTTCCACCTGACATTATGACAATAATTAATGAAATTATTGATGAAATCCAGTTTGAAGAAAAAAGTATTAAATATTGGGGGTATTGCAAAAAATTACAGGCATTAATTAATAATAGAGATAAACAACAACAGAAAAAAATAATAAACATAAACTTTTATATACTAATTCAACTGAGCCGATGATAAATACAACTGATAAAAACACAACTGAACCAAAAGTAGTATGGAATTTCTCGAATCGCAATTTAGCTGAAGAAGAGCTTCGTGTATTAGAAAAAGGAATGTCTTACAACCATTCTTGCACAGTGAATCGCTCTAAAGTAATCTCCAATGTTGAATATTTATTCCATCAGGCTTCTAAAATTCCAAAAGAATCAATTGACTTTAAAAAATGGGATGAAGATCCTGATGACATTGCAAATAAAGAAATTCGAGTTTTGGAACCAAAACAACTATCTCTCGCAGCAGATTTAAAAAGTACAACAGAAAAATTCTTCCAACATGCACAAATGTCAATTAAGATGAGAAAAGATAAAAATTTAAATGGAAATCATGATGACAAAATATTATTAAAGTTATCCAAAGATCTATCTATTTTAATTACTAAACCTGATAAAGGTCGTGGTGTCGTAATACTTGATCGTAATGATTATATTGAAAAATTAGAAAAAAT